TGCGATGCAAGGATTTTAGCTTTTAATGATTTACATAATAGATTAGATACTAAGAAGGGAGAAATATATATGTATAAGTTAGCCAAACAAAGAGATATGAGTAGTAAGAATTTACTTCAAGTGAAGTGTATTAATGATGAAGATCAAAAAGTACTTTTCTTAGAAAATAATATTTAACAAAGGTGGATGAGATATTCTGCTAAACGTTTTAATGAAGAAGTTGAAAATATGATTGACTTTGGTGACCTTAGCACCCTAAATGAAAATAAAGATTTTTGTTTTTATCGCCATATTAGTAAAACTGAAGTTAAATGGCTTTAAAGAAAATAAAGTGTGGAAAAATTGTTAGACCTGATGATACTCTAATAGAGGTGTGGAAATGCTTAGTAGATGAAATAATTTCTTGGCTTACTAAAAATTTTAATATTGTTTTAAAGACTAAAAAGATGCTAGATGAGTGGAGAATGAGTTTGTTAATTCTTATTTTTAAGAATAAAGGTGATGCATAAGATTGTGTGAATTATATAAGAATTAAGTTAATATGCCATACTTTAAAACTATAGGAGCGAGTTATGGAGCATAGGTTGCAGCGTGATACTAATGTTTTTGAAAATCAATTTGGATTCATGCCGGGTAGGTCTACTATGGAAGCCATACATTTATTGAGAGGTTTGATGGAGAAGTATAGAGAGAATAAGGAGGGTCTACATATGTTATTTATTAATTTAGAGAAAATTATATGATAAAGTTTCAAGAGAAGTGCTATGGAGGGTTCTTTAAAAGAAAAGAGTTAATAATGCTTATATTTAAATCATTAAAGTTGGTATGCAGGAGCTATTACTTGTGTTCAAACACAAGGTGGTTTGACCAAGTATTTTCCTATTTCAGTTGGATTACATCAAGGATCAGCCTTAAGCCCATATCTTTTTTCATTAGACATGGATGTTCTCACCAGACATTTGCAAGAGGATGTACCTTGGTATATGCCTTTTGCAGATGATATTCTTCTTGTGATTAAGATTAGAGAGGAAGTTGATGGTAGACTTGAATTATGGAGTTCAACCTTGAGTCTAAAGGTTTTCGCTTGAGTAGATCTAAAACTGATTATATGGAGTGTAATTTTAGTAGTAATGAACTTAGTGAGGAGATTTTGACTTTGGGAGCAATTAATTAATAAGAGTACACATTTTAGATATCTTGGATCTATTGTTCAGAGTGATGGTGAAATAGATAGGGATATTATTAATAGAATTCAAGTTGGATGGTTGAAGTGGAGGAATGCATTAGGCTTGTTGTAATAACCAGTTTGGTCGGCCGATTTAATTGAACTCGCCGACCATCTATTAATTTCCTCGAACAGAAACGAGCAAACAGGACGGACGCAACATGGAGCAGACGAACGCATGTGCAGAAGATGTTGGAGAGTTCATTTCACTAGCCATTTCTAGAAATTGATCATGTTTAGGGATAAGAATCAACAACTCTTTTTCATTCTTATCGCTAAAGAAGTGGTAAATCAGAAGAAATCTCAGTGAACGAGAAGAATGAATGAGAGGATAAGGGAAGAAAATTTGTTGAGTTTTTTCTTTCCATTTCATTATAAATTTCCTTGTTTTGCTTCATCTAAAGCAATTGATGTTTAATAAAGGAAAAGGAAGAGACTAAAAGCAAGGAGAAAGGTTTTTGGGAGATAAAGAAGAATTTTGGGATTTTGAGAAAATCCTCATTTGTAAGTGAATTTCATAGTGTATAACTTTTAATAAATTTTATTATTAAATCACATTTTCATGAAAGTTTATATTGTATAAATTTAGGAATTTTAGAAAGGGAGATATCAAGTTGTAGGAGTTCGATTCTTCAAGAATTTAATAAGGAAAGAGAAATTTAGATTTGAGGTATTTATTAATTAAATGAATATTTATGATAAATTTATGAAAGTTAGATGTTAAATTTTTATGGTTATGAATTTCTTTAGGTTGTACCAAGGATCGATGACTTGAAGTCTTGAAAGAATCAAAGTGGATGTTTATAGAATTTCTCTTTATTGTATTTTTTCTATTTCATTTTGAAAGAAGCATGTTATATAAGTGTTTTAAGACTCATGCTTTTTTTTTGAAACTATTACATATGAAATAAGTAAATGTATGTACAAATACGATTATATGAAAGAAATGATATGTTGAGAGACAACAACAACAACATCAAGCCTTTATCCCATACGTGGGGTCGGCTACATGAATCCTTTTTCTTCATTGTGTACTATTAAAGGTCAAATTCTCGTTTAAATCTAATAAAGAAAGGTCATTCATAATATTTTCTAACCAAGTCTTTTTAGGTCTGCCTCTACCTTTCTTAGCATAAGTCAAATCTAATACATCTACTCTCCTAACCGGGTCATTGGAAGGCCGCCGTTTTATATGACCAAACCATCTAAGGCGACTCTCTATAATCTTATTTTCTATTGGAGCTACTCCAACCTTTTCACATATATGCTCATTTCGTATCCTATCTCTAAGGGTAAACCCACTCATCCCCTGAGCATCCTCATCTCTACCACACTTAACTTAGTATTATGCTTCTCTTTTAATGGCCAACATTCAGCACCATAAAGCATTGCAGGCCTCACTACCATCTTATAGAATTTTTCCTTAAGTTTGAGGGGTACTTTTCTATCACACAATAAGCCCGATGCATTCCTTCACTTCAACCATCCAACTTGAATTCTGCTGATAATATCCCCATCTATTTCACCATCACTCTGAACAATAGATCAAAGATATCTAAAACGAGTACTCTTATTAATGACTTGATCGCCCGAAGTCACAATCCCCTCACTAGGTCTATTTCTACTAAAATTACACTCCATATATTCCGTTATAGATCTACTCAAGCGAAAACCTTTAGTCTCTATGTTGACCTCCATAATTCAAGTTTACTTTCAACTCCCTCTCTAGTCTTATCAACAAGAAGAATATCATCAGCAAAAAGCATACACCAAGGTACATCCTCTTGCAAATGTCTAGTGAGAACATCCATGACTAAAGCAAAAAGATATGGGCTTAAGGCTGATCCTTGATGTAACCCAACCGAAATAGGGAAATACTTGGTCAAACCACCTTGTGTTTGAACACAAGTAATAGCTCCTGCATACATATCTTTAATGATTTGAATATAAGCATTATTAACTCCTTTCTTTTCAAGAACTCTCCATAGCACTTCTCTTGGAACTTTATCATATGCTTTTTCATTATCAATATATATATATATATATATATATATATATTTGATATACCTGTGTTATTGTTTTATGATTGATAATGATTACTCACTGAGTTTACATGGTAATCTCATCCCACTAAATTAATGTTTCAGTCTGATATCTAAAGAAATAAAAATGATAGAAAAAGAAGAGTATGTTTATGGAAGACGACGCATCAATAGAAACAGGTAAATTATGATTGATGAAATTATTAGCTTTGATAAGTGGAAAAACAATAGATTAATGGAATATTTCTTGTATTAATGGATCTTCAGTTGGATAAAGAAGTCTTTATGTTACTTTACTTATAAAAAAATGAAAAGTTATTATCGTCCGATTTTCGTTCTCGCCTCGTTAGTTCGTGCATCCGGCTCAGGTCGTGACACTTGTTGTGTGATAGAAAAGTCCCCCTAAAATTTAAGGGAAAATTCTATAAGATGGTGGTGAGACCTGTAATGTTTTATGGTGCCGAATGTTGAAAGAATTATTCTTTGTTGAAGCCAAACCCTGTTCGGATACCTAAGCCCTCGGCTCGGTACTGCGGTACCGAGGCTCGGTATAGCTCGGTACCGCGCCTCAGTATCGCTGACGTGGCAGATTTTGATTGGTATTCGGATGTAGAGCTGCGTTCGGCATCTGTACAGAATAATGTCTCCGAATGTTGGCCATTAAAAGAGAAGTATAATACTAAGTTAAGTATTGCAGAGATGAGGATGCTCTGGTGGATGAGTGGTTTTACCCTTAGAGATAGGATACAAAATAAACATATACGTGACAAGGTTGGAGTAGCTCCAGTGGAAGATAATATTAGAGAGAGTTGTCTTAGATGGTTTGGTCACATAATACGACGGTCTTTCGATGACCCGCTTAGGAAGGTAGAGGTATTAGATTTGACTTATGTAAGAAAGGCAGAGGTAGACCTTAAAAGACTTAGTTAGAAAATATTAGAATTGATCTTTCTTTATTAGATTTAAACGAGTATTTGACTTCTAACAAAATACAATGGAGAAAAAGGGTTCATGTAACCGACCCTACGTAGTGGGACAAAGGCTTGATGTTGTAGTTGTATATTTCCTTATATAGATCCACTATTTAACACTCTTTATGATTAACTATTTTCTAATAATTGGGGATTCTTTATTGCAACATAAATAACTTTTTCCTTTGATTCTGTAATTGGTCATATATTCTTCTATTTAACATATTTATGTTATTTTTTTGCTTTTGTTTTCCTATCAATGTAAACCCTAAACCCTAAATTTTTTTTTTCAGTTTTCTTGTCTTTTTTTTTTTAATTTTTTTAATTTTTTATTTTTATTTTGTTTTTTAATTTTTATTAATTTTATTTTATTTGTAAGTTTTATAGTTTTTCCTTATGCGGTTCTTAAACTTGAATTAGGGTGTAGGTCTATTACGCAGCTTGATTTTTAGATGCCCTCACTCTGGATTTAGTAAAACAGATTTTCTTTTGAGAGAATCAGTAATACTTGCATCTAGGTGTGCGCTAATGACTTTCTGATCAGCTTTATACTTTGAATTAATCAAATAAAATGCTCATTTCCTCATTTACTCAAGTTTCTTCGTTGAAGAGTTGAAAATAGAACCTCATGGAAAACCAAAGAAGTTGGTCATGGCTTGATCTTTATCATGATTTTGTTGAGATAAACCTGTGATACAATGTTATTTTTGTCATTTGGATTATCTTTATCTTAGATATTCTTCAATTATCATTCTGTTGCAGGTATGTTATGGGTTTTGGGGAAGCAGATGTATTCTCTGAAAGGATGAAACATGAACTTCAAGCTTTAGAAGCAGCAAACATCCATGCACTTCTAGAGAGTGAAGCTATAATAGAAGAGGTAATGTAACTTTTCGTCAGTGAAATCCAAATTCCTAGTTCAATATTACTTGATGTCTGTAAATGGTCACAAATTCCATGATTTCATTTAATGGGAAGCAATGCCAAAAGAGTTATAGAGTGGCATGATAATAATTGGCCCTTCTGGCTTCACCTGATGCATCTGATAAGACACAAAACCTTCTATCACTCTTGTTTGGCCTAAATTGGCATTTTGGCTTCCACCCGTGCTTTATGAAGTATATGATGCACTGGCACGTCTTCTCAAAAAAGTATGCAGTGTCCGATACATATTGAACATGACACTTGTCTGACACGTCGAACACGTCGAGAACGTGTCCGATTAAAAAATAATTAAAAATAAATTGGACACGCGTGTCTTCAATATTTTATGAGATTTTTAAAAAATATAATTTATTATACTTCAAAATTTTATTTATTAAAATAAAAACTAAATTTCTTATTTTTTTTCTATAGCCTCAAATCAACTACCTGTACTCATTATCCCATTCCTTGAACATTCCTATTTTCATTTCTCTTTAGTGGTTTATAATTAGGGTTTAACAACAATGCATGATGTCATCTCTTTGACGCTGTGAAAACAACCATCTTAACATTAAAGTATGATGATGTCTTGACATTAATGATTGATACCACCAATTTATACATTCACAATCATGCCCCCGCTATTTAAAAAAAAAAAACCCCCCCTCACCGTCTTGATGTCCCATCTTTGTCCAATATCATCTAAGCATTGACGATCGATGTCGTTTTGACATCGAGGGTCGATGCTGTCTCAACATTAAAGCCCAATGTCCATTGCATAACATTGATGCCCGACTCTTAACAACATTGTCGTCTCCCCTCTCGATGCCTGACATACATCCACCCTTTACTCTCAACATCCTAATATTATTCATTTTAAGTACAGATCCTTATTAAATGACTTATTATTTTTCAATTATTCTTAATATTCTGCTTATTCAATTTTTATACCCTATCTTTAATATATAAAAAATATAATAATGTGTTCAACCCATATTCATCTATATTTTCAATAATTAACGTGTCAGTCTGTGTCATGTCAAATCCATGTCATCATATTTGTGTTTGTGCATCATAGTTTATGAAGTTTCCTTAGATGAAGCAACTGTGACTGCCGATAAAAACCTTTCAGTCAAGTTGGGTTAACTACCTTTGTTGACTAAATAGGTCGGGATTCATGATTGACATGAGATACCCGAGCTATGGCATCTTGGCAGGGTTTATCATTATGCCCCAATCGCTTTTGAGCCTAAGAGCCGAAGTCCTGTATTTCTGTTGTCAGCAAAGCAACTAGGAAGCCATCATAGGGTAAAACAATATAGCGAGAGTCTTAAAAATAAGCTTTTTCAAGAGTTGTCTCCTTGATGAGAATATTAATTAGGGGGCATTTGAGAAATCTACAAATTAATAATTTGATTCCTCTTAAGAGGACGTAATACTCTGCTTAATACTTTATCAGAGTTTAATCTGTCGCTTGAAAACTATTTTTGAGGTCCTTCCTTGAGTGTATGGGGATCACTATCTTTCAGAGGCTATAACTGGTAACTACATAATATGACCAAAAGAATTTATCAATTTTCTAATAACTTTGATCATCAATTCACATTGCTGTAACTTAAATTTATTTCTAATTAACCTATGCAGGTATTGCACGGCCTTGAGGTGGCTATCATTTGTGTTGAAGATATGGATGAGTGGTTGGGTATCTTCAATGCGAAACTTAAGCACATGCGTGAGGACATTGAATTGGTATGCTAATTTCGAGTTCATTTGGTTTGTGAAACATGACACATGCGTAATTGTTAACCTCTACAATCAGCGGGAATACGAGAATGCAGTTTTTTTATTAATCCCGAAACCTTGATTTAATCAAGGTATTTTATAATGGTAACATTTTACTTGCTTTAATCATAGTTCAGATAACAATTTTCTAAGGCAATTGAAAGCAAATCTAATTACCTTTATAACAGGAATAAACTATTTCATTGAAGTTGTTGCTGCTGACAATCTACATCACAATTTGATTACACATTTATCCCTAGGCATCGAAACTCTAGTTATTTCTACCTGTTTTGGTGTATCATATCTAAGTACTGTTTGATTATCAAACTTGAGCATATTAGAGGATGCTTTAGATAAAAAAAAGAAAGAAAATGTGGGCTCCGAAAATTCGGCCCTGGCCTCCGCCGTTGCTATTTGGTGGAGTTTTAACGGATAATGTTCCGGGGTAAATTTTGGGAAGCCAAATGGGTTTGTAGATAAGACACTACTCAAAGATTTTGGCCTCATTTTGAGAGTAATTTATGATCTGAGTACTAGTTTCCTATAGGCGCAAGCCAATATGGTTAATTACCCCTCTTGATAACAAGAGAGAACTTTTGATTAAGGCTAGTCATCGATCAGATACGTAAAAATACGTGTTATCTGACATATAGTAGCAGCATGAATTTGGGATTGAAAGTTGGATGTTTAAATATAAATTTTACAATCTTACACTTGCTCTTTGTGAGCTTACTGACAAGAGATTATTTGAGAATAAATCCTAGTGATATTTTCGAGTAAACACTTGCTCTTTGTGAGCTGAAGTTATTTACGAATTTGTCCACATCGGCAAATTGTTACGGCTGGTGGATGAATTTTGCTTTAAGTGATTGGATGACTGATTTCGATTTTAGATATCTTGAAGTTTTGAGATTTTATGGGTATTTGGGATGACATTTGAAGTATTTGAATTTAATCCCTCCGGTTGAGATCTGCATTCAACACGACCATCATTGGGGTGACATTAAAGTCACTTATATTTTTATAGGAATTTGAATTTTGTGGAAGTTTAGAGGCATTTGAAGTTGTTAAAATTAACCCCTATGGTTGAGATCTACGTTCAACATTGCCATCATCGGGGTGTATGGGGTTATTTATGTTTTTGTATTTTGTGAGAATTTAAGAGCATTTAAAAGGGTAGAATCCTCCTCTGGTTGAGATAAACATTCAATATGGCCATCATCGGGGGTGGTATTGTTGGTCGTTTGCATTCGTGAATTGAACCTTGTTGACTCTATCTACTTGCTAACAGAGGATCGGGTTCCTTGTAGGCTCTATGTTTTATTAATGAATTTCTTTATTCGTGGGCTTTGAAGGCCTTATATGAACGTATAAAATAGATATTTCGGTCGATACTTTGACCGTATATCTGTTTGATAGTTTGAGCCATGTCGACTTTTATCTATTCATATAGAAGGATCAGGCTCGAACTGGAGTTCATCATTTGACCCGCTAAACATCCCTAGACGTTGTGTATGTACCCACAACACGCTCGTCGGGGCCCATATGGGTGTTGTGAATTTCATTGATTGGACCTTGTCGACTCTATCTACTGGTCGATAGAGGATCGAGTCCATAAGCTTTATGTCTTTGTTGATGAATTTCTTTTGTCACAAACCTTAAAGGCCTTATTTGAACGCATTAAAATAAATATCTTAGTCGATATAACGATCGTATGTTTGTTTGATGGTTCGAGTCATGTCGACTCTTATCTACCCTTATAGAAGGATTATACTCAAACTTAATTTTATTTATTGACCAGAGCAGCATTCATAGACATCACGTATGTACCGATAACATACTCGCCGGAGCCAATGCGGGTATGTAATATATCCCCTTATGTGTATCTATGTGTATACATATTACAGTGCATGTCCAGGGGCATTTCTGGATATATTTGACGGGTCTTTTGCAGCAGCTCCAGGAAGCTCATTCATGTTGTAGTCTTCTTGGTTGAACTGGGGTTTACTCACCCCATCTTGATTTGATCTGGCTTTATCTTCCCAGAACTTGTATGAGAATCAACAAAAGCAACTTAAGGGCAAGTGCCCACAACACAGACAATCCAAGGGCAATTATATCAAATCATCAACCACATGCGCACAAAGAAGAAAAATCTTAGTCCTAGCATGCCTAGGGGGCTGTGCACCTAAGTGTGTGAGGCTTGTGTGATATGTCACAGTAAGGGTGTTTTACTTAGAGTTTGAGCCAGATGTTGGAGAACTCTCCTTAGCTTTTGGAGCTAGGGAGAGGAGATTGATACTTCTTTTAGATTTGAAGCTAAAGAAGAGGGAGAGAAAGTGTCCAACATATAGTTTTTGAGCGAAGTGTTGGAAGATTTCCCCTAGCTTTTGGAGATAAAAGGAGAACATAGGAATCCAACATTTTGTTTTTGGGCTAAGTGTTAGAGAACTCCCTCTAGCTTTTGGAGCTAAAGAGAGGGGAATTCTCCTACAACCTTGGAGTTGGAGAAGAAGGAGATAAAGCATATAACTTTTGGGCTTGGGTAGGACATCTTCTAAGGCCTTTGGAACCTATAGAAGTGAAGGAAGATTAGTGGCTTTGCGGCTACAAATCAAAAGAATATCTCCTTGAATTTTTTTATTCAAGGAGTTGAGTTTTATTTGTTTAATTTGGATTAGACAAACAAAGGTGAGTCACTTATTGATTTTAGTTCAATAGGTGAGGAGGATTTGCAACTTTAAGACTACAAATCAAGAGGAATTATCATAGAACTTTTATGTTTAATGATGAGTATTTAGTTTGCTAAATTTAGATTAAATAAACATAAGAGAGTGATGTGTAGATTTGAGCTACACATTAAGGATTCCTTGGACTTTCGGGTATCCAAAGAGAGGAACTCATTCACCTAGTTTGAGTTAGGAGAATGAAAGAAAATAAAAATAGGATTTTGACTCCTTTGCTTGATATAAAATTATTTGTTGAATTTGGTTCAACAAATAAATAATTTGGATTGAACTACTTGTCAACAAATATGTGATTTGTCATAGGTTTAATACTCAACATAGTTGAATGAATAAGAGTTTCATACAACTGTTGGGTTGTAGAAAAAGGGGAATTTCTCTATAATTTTTGATTTGCAGAGAAGAAAGGGGGAATGCAACTTGGAGGTTGCAAAGTGGAAGAATCTCTTTGAACATTTGGTATTCAAAGAAGAGAATATTGAATCAGGGCCTTCAGATCGGACCTGGAGGCCGGCGGCTTCGAAAGGTTCTGCTGATGGGGGAAGACGGATCCCCTGGAGGGTTTTGCCGAAGCCCTGGATGGAGTCGGACGGAGGTTCCGCAGGTGAGGGGGTGGGGTGCGAACAGGGGCCTTCGAAGTGGATTGGAGCTCCGCACGCAAGCATTGTCGCGGACGCAGGGGGGGTTTCCACTCTACTGGGGCTCGCTCCCTATCCCTCGCTCTCTCGCTATCTTGTTTTGTAAAACCCTAAAACTGTCGATCGGATGTGTCGTAGCATTTCGATGCACCACGACGAATTTAGGCAAAATTTTAAAGTTGTTGGAATTCAACACAGTAAATTTTATTAAACTCTACGTGAAATTTTGATTGAAATTCTATAAAGAACGTATACCCAATTTCGCACGATTTGGATATTAAAAATTGCCGAAGATGTTTAAGAAAATTTTTAACCCTTTCTACCCATTTTACCCTTCATGAGCTTGTAGGGAATACATTGGGAGAGGGGTACATGCATCATTTCTCTTAACCAACACCCTTTAAGACTCTAAGGGACCGAATAGTTCGGTCCCTTGTTTTTTTCGGCCGAGCACGGGAGAGCGGAAGAGGGCGACGACTTGGGCTTGGCGAGCGGTGGCCGGTGGGTTTTCGGCGGCGGTTTAGAGGGGAAATCGAAGGGAAATTAAGTCTAATGTATGATTTCTTGAAGACATTTCTAAGCTTTTCATGTGATTTTCCTTGAAAGAAATTTCTATGGTTTCTTCCAAAAATTGTTTCCTCCAAAATCTCTTTACAATAAAGATTACCCTTACTAGTACAAATGTTTTTATGTTTACAAATCAAACTTTCATGGGAAAACTTTTGAGTTTAGAAATTAGGGTTTTGATGAAACGTTAAAATCTTTTGGAGAGAACGTTAGGGAAGGCTTAGGAACAATTTTTAGCCCTGAAAATGTAAGATTTCTTCGAAGGATTTTAGGTTCAATTCTTAGGGTTTTTCACTAATTTGAAAATGTTGATGCATGCTTACCTAAAGTGTTTCCCAATAACATTAGGAGGGCTCTAATTGTGAAATTTGGGCACTTTTCACAAAATCCTATTTTCCCCTAATTTTTATATGTAATAATCCGAAAATAATTAATTTTAATAATGATATATGTTAGGAAAAATGTTATGAAAATTAATTTGAAGGGATTATGAACAATTTTAGGTTCCAAAATTTTGGATTTTAATTAAATCCGAAAATTAGCTTTTAAATTCATTTTTTTAATCAAGAAAAAATGTAGATTTTGGGTATGTTAATGACCATTCATACCTATATGTTTATGAACATTCATAATTATATGATAAACAAATGCTTTAGGGTATGGGTAGGTTAATGAGTATTAATGAGTTTAAAGAGAGAAATTACTAATAACATGTGTAGGGTCATTAAGGGATAGTGAGTTATAATTATTTTGGATTGGTATAAGAAAACTTATGTTGTAAATTCTTCCCTTAGGTCTTGAAAAGCGGAGGTATTAAGGAGAGATCGTGAAACGACACTTTCAAAGAGCAATATTTGAGGTAGAAACACCTTACTCTATAAATTCATATTCCTGTATTCTGTTTTGAAATGTCTCATTAGTTGATAGATATTACATGCATATTAAATATTCTTATTAATTGATAAAAATGTATATTAAATGTTTCTATGAATCAATGCATATTTGATGTTCTCAAGCATATTAAAGTTCTCATTATTTGATAGCAAGCAATGCATAGAAGTCTCTTTTATGTAAACTTGCCTCATACTTAATGCATATGATTAATATGAAAATGCTACACTACCTATCCATCTTTCTATGAAAAGAATGGTTGAATGATTTTGCATGTTGAAGGCGGAGTACCAAAATATTGTACAAAAACACAATATGGCTCTTATAAGCAATATGACTCTTCGGGGAAAAAGAGGAAAGAAAAATAAATGGCCAAAAATATGTTTGTGTACATGATCAGTACACTTCTGGTACTCCTGTACGGTTGTATAATATAAAGATTAAGTTAGCATATTAGAACATTTGACAAAGGACTTGATATAGTTGAAAGGATATACATATGAATTAACATGTGACATCTAGCATATACATAAGAACTAGCATGTGTCACTTAGCAAATAATCAACATTTCATAATCATGGAGGAGTTCACTCACTTTTAGCATACATGTTAATTTTCATTTAATTTGGTATATGAAGTTGTTAGAGTTAGTATTTCCTATTAAGCTCTAGCTCATTCCCTCATTTTGAGATATTTTTCAGGAGAACTTGTTGCTAGAAATGGCTGACCGCACTTGGTTCACTTATAGTCGTAGAGGACCAGATGATAGGTTTCCCTTATGTCTCTATTAGTTGTAGTTTATATATTTTTGGGTGGTTTGACATAAATGATAGATTTTATAGTCACCTTTGTATATATGAATCTTCTTGTGAAATGATATGAAATGCTTATTATAATTTGGAAATTGTTTAGAGGTGCTTTTAGTTTCCTTTTGAAGTATTTTAGATTTTAGATTCTTCAATGCATGTTTTAAGAAAATTTCATGTTCTGAATGTCCGACATCTGTTCCCGCCTCGTCTATACGAGCTCACCAGGCCGGGTCGTGACAAGAGTGGTATTAGAGCACAAGTTTAGGATATGAATCAGTATAAAGCGCCATTAGAAGGATTTATGAGTTTTAGACATTTTAGGATGTATGTTTATACGACGATGATTGAATTGTAATTTTTATTTGGTTTAGGGCTATGTTCAGGAGCCCGATGCCATTGATGGAAACACTGATGGGAACAATGAATAGGCTGAGAGAGAAGTTCCAGCGGTACCATATGAATTGCATCGAATTTGATTCAACAGGGCTCGACGGGGTTCGATTTGGATTGATTTGATTTTAATTTAATTAAACTGAATTTAATTTTATTAAATTAAGGTTAATTTGATGAAATTAAAATTTAATTTCAACAAATTAGGGTTTGATTTTGCTTCGATTGCATTCGATCGAATCGATCGAGTACGATCGAACCCAATCAGTCTTGAATCAGCTCGATCGGGGTTGGGTCAAAACAAAAATATTTGTCAACACTAGCAAGATCTTTAAAATTGTTGCATGATTCTTGAAGAATTTCTTAATTGATTACTTGTTAAAAAAGGGTACTACATCTACATATATTTACCAAAAAATGTCTAATAAAGGAAATAACTAACCAGCTTAATTCTTTTCTAAAAATTAGGAAACAAAATCATAGGAGAATAATTCTTTCCTAAAAATTATGGAACATAATGATAGGAGAGGATAGCAATCGAACTCTCATTTTATTCCTAAAAGTACTATCCTAAAATAAATTCTGGAACTTTGACTTTCAAATATTCAACAATTCTTGTCAAGGTTGACCTAATAACTTTCAGATGGTACATTTCTTACCTTGGGCTTGGGATGCGGTGTGCCTTGACTATATGGAATATGATGATTTAGATTTGTAGTGACCTTAACCCATATTATACGAGGCATTATTTATTTTGGCCCAGCTCATCCGAAATTAGGTTAATCTTGTTGTTTAACTGATGTGAAACAACATGCGATGAACAAGAACTGCTTGGGGATTTTAATATAAGATTGTTAAAGCTTTGCTAGTTATAAAATTAATGCTTACCCAAGTTAGGTTTTTAGAATTATCAATTCGAGATTAAGTAAGGCATGCGGTTAAAACTAGATTAACGGGACAATATCAAATTGTCAACATAGAATTAAAGAGTAATGCTATGGGGAGAAACAATAATCCACAATTAACAAATAGAACTTTCACCTTGGGTCTCTCACTCACTCTCTTGTTGGTGGCACTTTTAATGGAGGAAGATTGAGAGCAACCGAGCGATGCCACTAGGAGACAAATGGCGCACAAAAGCGTAGTTCGTTGGAGCGATAGCCGGTGGCGGGTAGTCCATAGGATGACTAGTGAGCATCCAACGTCTTATCCTTTCTTCCTTGCGGCAGCCTGGGTACTTTGAAATCCTGGACAGCAGATTTACTCCTTGGGTGGCAGCAGCTTGGCCACGTTGGAGAGCTCTTTTGGAAAGCAAAAACCTCTTGGAGATGCAGGAAAACAATACATAATTGCTGTAATTTCTTAGGCAGCTGACGAAAAGCATATAGACGGGAGGGGAATTAATTTGAGGGAAATAGGTAAAGTGGGGCCAATGTAATTAAATGACTGATTTGAATAAAAACTTATTAAAACGGATTGAAGGCTTGGGAAGGAAACCTCTCTTTAACGGATAGGGGAATCAGGCAATTGTTTGAATTTCAAAATTGCTTTGAAATCAATTAAATAACAATTGCTTAAATTCTGGAATCATTTAAGGAAGGCAATTAGAGCTCATAAACAATTGAAATTCAAAATAATGTCTCCTGAGAGGTGCGGGATGGAACTGTGGCCGACCGGCGGCGGCTGATCTGGCCGGCGACAATGGAGGCAGCGGACTGGTGGCTTTGGGCGGTTTGGAGTGGGTGGCGGCAAGAGCAAGGGGAGGAAGAAGTATGGAAAAATATAAGAATTCAAGGAGCGAATTCCAATTTCCCACAAGTGCTTCAACCGTATCTTCACGTCGACGAATTGATCACAAGAAATAAAGGAAGAAAAATGGTAGAACAAGAAGATCTAGAACTCACAAAGAGATCTAGTTTCTCCTACGAACTCACTAAGAGATCGAGGAGGGTGAACTCACAAAGAGATCATAAGTGGCAAATAATTTTTCATTCATCAAAAACTAAACTATTACATAAGAAAAGGGCCATATAAATAGGCCTCAAAATGACAAGAAAGCAAAAGACTAAAATGCCCCTCGGGCTACAATAACGACTAAATACCCATAAGGGCAAAAACGGAAAAACATAAAAATCAAATAAACTACTACAAAAATGACTCAAAATAAAACTCATGATCGTGGCCGTTGATCTCCGGCGTCTCCTGATGGTACATGTGTCGAAATATCTGACGATGTCCTCATCATTAACTCTTAGTGCAACTTCTCAAGAGGTTACTTATCTTAGGAGTGCTTCATTATGAGGGCACTTAAGATGACATTCTTGGTTTTTTTTTTTGCATTGTCATGGGGGTGGTTATTAAACTTTTGTTTGATCTAAAGAAAATCAATTTTTAGAAATGCTCAGACCTCAAAGACATTTTTTTTTTTAATTTTTTTATGGTATGGTATGATTTATGCCCTATGTTATCTTTTGTATATTCTTTCATTGTTAAGTAATGCAGATAGAAGCTCGCAACAACAAGTTGGAATTGCACTCTGCAAACCATAAAGATCTTGAGGAGGAACTTGATAAGCTAGTTGGATGGCTACATATCCCTCCTCAGGTATATTTGATTTATGAGGAAATTTGTGTTGGTTAGATCGAGATTCTAACAAAATAGTCAACCCTAAATTTATTATCGTATTGTTTTGTTGATCTTCTTAATGGCAGCTTGCAACATGCCTAACGGTTGGTTCCTTCGATGAGCCTCGCGTGATGAAAAATATTGAAGCTTGTGAATGGTTAATTGGGGCTATACGTCATCTTCAAGTGCCAATTTTGGATCCATCTTATGCAAATCTGCAAGCTGTACATCATCTGCTAACTTTAAGTGATTACATTTTGTGTGAGACTACGTGGAGGTTCAACTGCCAATATCACACACACACATATGTATATATATATATTCCTAATTGAAGTTTGCGAGCTTTCTATTAGTAGATTTACTTGCAAGCCATATAGAAGACATTTAGGCTGGTTTGAGCAGATTAGCAAAGGTTAATCCACAGATCAATTATGGAAAACTTTTAGGTTTTGTATAATTATTTGTTCTTGTCCTTAATTTTAATCACCTTTCCGTGAGGTTTGCTAGATTTGTAGAGAAGTAAATAATCTTGAGACAAACTGTACAGGTTAAGGAGAAACGCGTGGAATTAGAAAAGTTAAAAAGTACATTTGTTTGGCGTGCATCCGAGTTCTTGAGGAACTACTTTGCTAGTTTGGTGGATTTCATGATAAACGACAAGACTTACTTTTCTCGGGTGAATTTGTAACTCCATTTGTTTTATCCAACATTACAAGATGGATTACGAAGTTAACTTGAATGTATCTTTGGTTTCTTGAAGCGGGGATCATTGAAGAGGCCTAACCATGCAGAATTGAGATACAAGTGCAGAACCTATGCACAACTTCTTCAACACCTAAAGGCACGCGTTTAATGAAAAGCTTCTTTGAGCAATTTCATTTTGCTGATTGCGTTTTCTAATTATTTGTTTGCCTTGTATTAAACTTTTCAGAGTCTTGACAGCAATAGTTTGGGCCCTTTACGAAAAGCATACTGCCATTCCCTTAACCTGTTGCTCCGTCGAGAGGTCAGGAAGAAAAAGAATTGTTTCAAAAGACTGTTATCATTTCTCTAATTTAATATGCTGATTTCTTCTATTACGAAAGTAAATAAAACTTTCCATTAATAAATACTATTGAATATCTGAGAGGCATGTATATTCACTTGAGTCTCCTTAGTATCTCTGTTTCTGTGTTCGAAAACTTAATATTTACAAAGGAGAGGTACGAGAGAGTTGAATACAAATAAATCTAGGAGGAAATTAAGGCCTGGTATAAATCAATTACTTTTGGATTGATGAGTTGGATAGGCATCCAGTCCTTGTTGTTGCTGGTGATCAACAATCCTGTGGATTGCTAAGTTGGGCGGACACACATCCCTTGTTGCATCTAGGGTAATCGCCACAAATTGCTGAACTGGTCTGATTGAAGGACGAAAAAGTGTAACGACATAGGCATAGTTTGAGTTGATTCTAGGATTTTCACACTTTCCTCAAGCTAGGGATGTATTTTAATCATTCCTAGCTTAAAAGTAAAGCTGTCGAATTGTGATTGATCAAGAGTTTGGAAAAGCATATTTGCAGTCTAGAGTTTTGTTGGAGTGTAATTTATTTGAATGAACGCTTGATTAAGCTTTTCTTATATGAAGCATCAATCAATTTCAATATATTAGTTTAATCATGGCGGACTTCAATTTCAATATGTCAGTTCGTTCATGGTGAACTGAATTTTTAGCAATATTGATAGTAGCTTGATTTTTACATCTCAGTACATAGATTCTATAATGAGAATATGCAAGTCCTTGAGAAGTCGTTTAAGCCACTTTCACAAGTATCACGGGCCACAACCTTGACTTTTGCTTCAACATTATTCTGAGCAAAAAGTTGTTTTTTTTTTTACTATGCCACTAAGTTTTCCCATGTGAATAAACAATAACTTGATGTGGATTTAAGATCTGTTACTTATACGGACCAATCATCATTAGTGAAGATTTATATGCTCGTTACTGTCTCCTTTCTATAGAACAACCTTTTTCCAGGTGTCTTTTAAAGATACCTTTGCATCCTACTATATAAAGCATTAAGATGCTTCTTTGTGGGGCTATTGATAAACTAAAAATACTAATATCAAATCAAATATCAGATCCCCATTTAGAAAAGCATTTTTACATATATCTAATGGAGAAATGAATCTTAATTTGCTGCAAGTGAGAAAATTATCAGGACTTTGCTCATCTTAGCAACTAGGGTTAATAACTCTTAGTAATCCATGCCATATGTTTGAGTTATTTTTGTTAAATCACAACCTCCCGTTCTTATGTTAATCCCACAGCTATGAATAGTGATTCGTGGGAAGTCCACCTGAATCATGTTGAATACCTTCCATAGCTAGACAACTGATTTAGGAAGGATTGTATTAAGATAATTACTCATTGTTACGTAATTATTTGTAGTTATTTGTTTCTTTATTAAGGCATATTGTATAGATCTATAAATAGGGATTATCTTAAGAAAAAAAGAAAAAAAAAAGAAAAAAGAAAAAAGGATTATGTTGTGAAATGAAATTTAAGCATTTTCCTCTCAAACTTACTGATTTCAACATAGTATCAGAGCCATGATTGACTATTGCCAATTCTTCGAAAGCAGCCTTCATTGCCGCAACTATCGTTGGATCGTCGTAATGAAGGAAACAGAGAAGACAAGGCTTCAAGAGATCATTGAGCGTTGCCTGCTTGATTTGCGCGCTCGAGCAAAACACTTGGGCAAGTTTCCGCCTTCGTCGCCTGCAAGCAAGGGCAAATCTCCGCTCAAGCAAAACTCGGACCAAGTCTCGTCGTCTGGCTTCCACGCTCGAGCAACCATCAGCGGATCCATTCAGCCAACCCTGCGTGTCCTAGCTGCTCTGTCCGAACATCTTGCGATTAAAAGTCTTGGTTCGGTCACTCACTTAACCGTGAGTTTGAAAAAAAAAAGAAAAAAATATTATCTGCCTTTATTGCTGTAACTAAAGATTGGAGGAAAATTTTTTTGGGAAGCATTAATTGCTATCCAGGATCATACAAATAGTCTTCATTACTATAATTTGACACCATAATGTCAGAAATTAATTCTTTCCTGAGCATTAACCATTTTGAAGATCATATGGTGCACCAAGGACGAGGTGACCTTCAAAGCATGCAACCTTCCTATTGCCTAAATAGGAAAAATTATTTAAAGTGGTCTCAATTTGTGAATACCTACTTAAAAGGAAATGGTAAATTACATCACTTCCTTGGAGGAGAAACAAAAGAAAGGATCATAATTTTTGGGTATGGGATGAAGCGGACTCCTTGATTATGTCATGGTTGTGAAATTTCATGACTCAAGAAATTAACGATACATTTATGTTTATTTCCATTGCAAAGGACATATGGGATGCTGTCAAACAAACTTTTTTAAAAGTTCGGGATGCTGCTGTCACGACCTGGCCCGAATACTTGATTTAATGAGGTAGAAATTAAAAGTCGGATGGTAGGATCAAATCATTTCAATACATAAGCAAAGTAACATGAAATTTTCCATTCAACTGAAGTGCCACTAACAAAAAATTTATCAAATACTTAACATTTATAGACATCATAAATTACCTGTTTTCATTAACGCGCCGTCTTCTATAGAACTCCTCTCTTTATGTCATTTCTAAAACTTTTGAATTTTACCTTAAAATATTTATTTAGTGGAATGAGCTTACAAAATAAGCTCAGTGGGTAATCAATATCAATTATAAAAATAGAAAAACATAAATAATCTTATACTTCTTTCTTAATACGTAAAATCCCTATTTGTACATCTTTCATGCATTATAAACCTTCAATCATAAATATTATATTTCCTCATAACATTTCCTTTAACAGTTTTGACATTTACTTTCTTTTTCATTTCCATTTCCACTTGTACAGGAGCACCGTCAAAATGTACCAATTAAAGTACAACCATTTCCATTTCCATTATCATATTCTTTTTCTTTATACATCCACGGGTACATTTTTTCCCAGCCAGTACTATACATGGGTGAACTCCTATAAATTTTGTATGCATATCATTTTCCTTGTTATAATTATTATATATGTTTTATTTTCATACATATAGATATATAACTTTTACCTTTCCTTTTTGTTTTCCATTTGATCAATATTTATACATTGGCATATGACAATTTTACATATACATATCTATAAATCTAATACATTTCACTTTAATAAAACTTTCAAACATTTACAACATATGAAATTTATCAGAAGACTATAATATCAGTAGGTATATATATCCTCAACATTTGTGATTTATGTTAATAATCACATATTTAAAAGACTGTATGAATAAAATAAAATAATTAAATAACATAAGTTGCCCACTTTGACTCTTTTAAAACTTCAATCCTTGTTAACCTAAGGAAAACACACAATCATGTAAATTTTTCTATATTTACCTTTCATTAATTTTGCATAAATATGTATTTAATTATTTCTTATCTCAAACCTCAAATTTTCTTACTTGTTGAATCGAACTCTTACACTTGCTTTCTTTTCTTCTAAAATTCCTAAAATTAAGCAATACGTATTTTATGAAAATATGCTTTAATAATAAATCTAAGAAAGTTAAATAATAGGAATTTTACTTACAACAAGGAGATTTTCCAAATCTCAAAATCTTTCTTCTTTCTCTCCCAAAATTCTTTCCCCTCTCTTCCAAATCGCTTTATCTTCCTTTAAAAAATGTCATTTACTTTAGGTAAAAAAAACATGTGAATTTATACACAATTGAATGGAAGAAATTCAATAAACTGTTCCTTTTTCTCCTCGGTTGTTTCTCTCGTTTAATGAAAGTTCTCTCAATTTAGCACTTCCTTAGCGATAGGAATAAAAATGAATGGTTAATTCTTATCCTTGAAGGAAATCATTTGCTAAAATTGGAAAATGGAACTCACCTCGTTATCGCACGAAGTTCTCGGCCGTCCGCCCCCTCTGTTTCGTGAAAATGGAATAGTATCGACCCATGTTGGGGTCGTGTCTTTAATTAGAAGGCTAGCCGATTCGTTTGAACAGTCCAGCCAAAACCGAATATTACAATCAATGTTTAAAATTTCGTATTCGGGTATTGAGGCGTTTTTCATTCGTGAGGTGAAGCGTAAGCCTCAAGGCGTTTTGAGGCGTAAGCCTCAAAATCAAAATATTGCGTAAACATAAAATGATAAATTTTTTATATACTAATGAGTGAATAATATAAAACATAAAAAAAGTATAAGATATGAAGTAAAATCAAAATATCTCAGTAATAAGACAATATGAAATATAGTTCAACTCAAAATTCTATCTTTCCCAAATCCCAGTATTCTTTTCATTAACATATAATTCCAATTTCCAAAATAAATAGCAATGACATATCACATAAGAACTCATAAGTCATCAACACTGTCATCACTAAGGGGTTCTTCATTTGAATCATCATTATGGTGAACTGCTCTCTCCCCTTCCTCCTCTCCTATAGAGTCCAATGTCGGGCATTTACTTCAAGATTTATGTAAGCTTTAATATATATAGCGTGAGGCGTAAGTGAGGCGAGGCGTGGCCTCAAGATGGGCCTCAACCAAATTAAGGTGCAAGCCTCGTAAAAAAATCGAGGCGTAAGCATTGAGGCGTTTTTTACTGGAATTGCGCAAAGGCGGGCCTCAAGGCGAGCCTCATATTGCGCAATTTTAATCCATGATTACAATCTCCCTTCCTTATAAAAATTGTCCCTGAAATTAAATCAAATAAAAAAACATACCCTTAATTAAAGAGGTGAGGGTATTGACTTTTCATTTCTGCCTCTTTCTTCCAAGTGACATCTTTATCTGTTCCGTGTTTCCATAGAATTTTCACAAAAGGTATTACTCTATTTCTCAGTTGTTTCACATCATAATCTAGTATTTTTTTAGATTCCTGAACATATCTCAAATCAGGCTGAAGGTCAATTGATTTGGATTGAATTCTCTTTGACTCATTTGACAT